GAGCGCTCGCTGTTATTGGTGTATTCTTTTAGATCATCCAATCATAATTTTAGATCTAGAAGAATACGTCAATAGCAGCGAACGCTCACTCAACTGTTGAGTCCGCTGAATGCAGCCATCAACTCCGAGTATTATTTATCCTTGTTCTTCACCGAATGTTGAACAAGGATAAAAGGTACTCGGAGTTGATAGAGTCGAGTTTTGGAACGCACCCCTGGAAAGCACCCAAAATGAAAATGAAACGGAGAGACGCTCTTGGGCGAACGAGAATCGCACAGCGAGAGGGAGTTGTTCCTACTGCGCCCGAAGGTAGCCGAAACACCGAGCGCACACGTACGTCGCTCGGCTTTTGTGTGCGTGGCGTTGCGCGGCTCAGATTAGCTCAGATCTGGTAACACTGCTGCGGCGTCCTGTTTCTGTTTGTCAATTGTAAAAATGGCGATGATAAGAATGGAAGATTTGAATGCAGCCGCGAAATATAAGTTTAAAAAAATGGGTGACATTCCCTCAAGCTGTAACACTGTTATTCTTTCTGCGTTTCCACTTAGTCTCGTGCTCGACGACGCAAAATGAATCTTCTAATTATAGTGAGTGAAAATGCGAGTCGATGAAAATTCCAAATACCTCTTATTAAAACGTCTTTGCAAATGATAATTGCAATAACGTTGCAACAAACAGTCTCGTTCTGTTTCGAGAAGAGAACGGTGAAGCGTATTTATTTTTTAAACTTGTCAAAGAGTCGAATTTGAGAAAAGCGAGAGGCTACACGTTGGTAGCAATGCATTACAAATGTTTGGCACGTTTACCATTTGTTGCCATTGTTGAGACGCAATAGCGCATTTGAGAGTAGCATTGTTTGCCCCTTAAATCATGATGCCTCGATGAAATTTCCTGAGCATTACGAGGTATATTCGACGCAATCATGGAAGCTTTACTACCGTCCGAGATCGCGCGACTTGTGCTCGGTAAGATCCAGCAGATTCAAAATCAAAATATCACGCGTAACCTTTCCCACGAGAACATCATCTCTTGGAGACTGCAGTCTTTCTTACCTATGTGTCACAATCAATTGCTGCCTTTGTTTGAAAGAATATATCCCTTTCATGCCATCGAATTCTTTCACGCAATTATATTGTCTTCTTAATGTCTTCGCATCTAATGTACAAACAAATAATATGACAAAGTATTTTTTACATTTGAGAGTAATATTGATACATTAAGATTGTAAATATTATATAATTGTATGACTAAAATTTCCTTAATAGGAAAAGAAACACTTTTATTAAGTGTATTTTTTTGGGTTGCTTGTTTTAATTATGTTTTTATATGCTCGAATTTGGAGAAGATGGAAGAAACTATAGAAAGTACAACAAAGAAAATGATCTTTTTATCATATACTGTATAGGAATGTTTTCATACTTTAGGTTTATTTTATATATTGTTTTTATTTAATAGCACTAATCAAATTGTATGGTTGATTTATGTTGTAAACCTGTTACAAAAATTTCTTTTAGGTTATTTGGAAGATCAAAAATGTGCTGAAGCAGCTAAACTGTTTTTAGAGACATCTCCGCACTTGCAAGAATGCCGTACGGTACTTTCTTGTGGGAGGAGATTTAGTACCAGAGTTAATGGTCTAACGTTGATGGATATTATTGAAAAATTATCAGCCGTCAGTGCTATGAGTAAATAATATACTGTCAATTAAATATTTAGTTTAAATTTAAGTAACACTAATAAATAGATGTAGACAGTATATTTTGTAAATATTTAGCTTATGTCCAAACATGCTATTTCTTATAGTTCAAGAACGGTTAAGCAAAGCCACTGATTGTGAACAGTTAAAGCACTGTGGAGATTTAATAGAGCAGCTCAAGTTTCTTGTAGAAGAGCCACGTGGTCAACGATTTGTTGTAAATATTAATGTACCTTCACAGGTAACTTAATTATTTTCCACAGTATTCTAAATTTGCAGAGATCTATCATATTTAGCATAATGGAAAAGCAATCTTAGACAAGCTCTAAAAAGAAAAAAGTCCTACATATACAGGGTGTTAGTTAAGTATGTTGCCATCCTCAACAGAGCAATTCTTTGGTTTGTTTCAAGTAAAAATGTCTATAAACATGTGTCCTAAACGGCTTAGTTTCCGAAATACAGGTGAACGTTCGCAAATGTTTGACGAAACGGTAAATTGTGTTGGAGATATCTTCCTGTATAAATATGCTTGCTTCACGTGAGTTACCATTCACACAACTGTAAACAAAGTGACAAAGTCAAAGTCAAAGTCACAAAATCAAAAATAGACTTTAGTTCTGATCTTTGAGCGTATACATCAATCTTTGAGAAGAAGGCCCTATGGATGTATCATGACGCAAGGTGGACATTTTCAACAATTCATCTAATTGTTTTATTTCATCAGAAGAACTGAAGCCTGTTTTTGTTTTTCTGTTTTTGACTAGTTCAAGCTGTATTTCTTTCAAATAAACAGATTATTACTACACGTTTAAATTTTTTTATTTCGGAAACTAAGCCGTTTAGGACACATGGACCTTTTTATTTGAAATAAACCAAAGAATCGCTCTGTTGAGTATGGCAACATACTTAACTAACACCCTGTATATATATATATATGTATATATATATGTAGAGCATATAAACATAGGTTATAATACTTAAATTATATGATATAATGTTTTCCCACGTTTTACAGAGTAATACACAAACATCAAATGGTTCACCTGTTGTTGCAAGCAATTTGCGGAAAAGGCACCATAGTAATAGCGAACGAATTAAACGCAATATTAAATCTCAGTTGAATTTAGTACAATCTGACATCATGAGCCCACGTATGTATTTACCTTATTTATTTATTTGCAATGTTTATAATACCTTATATAATGAGAGATTCTGATGCAAGATTTTAATAAAACTTATAATGCTTAAATATAGCAGCAAGTTGTCACAATGTTGACACAACACCGTTAGAAAGTCTGCCTGGAAATGTTGATTTGTTAAAGCAGATAGATTGTGCTACTCATATAGCGAAAAGAGATGACAATTTCATACAGGAATCTCACAGACAATGTGATTCCGATAAACATAATGGTACAAATAGTATTGCTACACGTAATAGAAATAATAGTACTCGGATAAGTTCAGGTATAATTATAAAAACCGCAAACTAACTATATAAAACAATAAACAAGTTTATAACTTTATTTTTCTTTGTATAGACGATGTTTCAAGTGTACGAAGTTGCGAAATGGACATTGATGATAAAAGAAAGGAAGAAAGCAATATAATTAGTACAATACCTGAACGGTATACTGCAGCTACAAGTACAGAAGAATTATTGAGTTTTTCTAGTGCAGAAGTCCAAACTATTCCTTATGAGATACCTGAGTCAGAGTCCGAATCTAACGATGTGCCTATTGAAAATCTAAGTGTAAGCATTTTTAAGTGATTAATTTTCCATTTGTATGTTTATATTATTTACATTAAAATAGTTACACAATTTATTTTATTTACACAATAACATTATAATTTATAAAAATTTACTTTCCAAATCACTATGAATATAGAACGTTATATCATTAAATATATTATATATGTATGTTTACATACATTTTCAGATATTAACGAAAGAAATGTTGAATCGTGAAGAATTACAACAATGTATTGCAGAGAACATCAACAGAGCAATCATTCCTACGGACTTATCTTTGAAAGATGACAATTTGAATGAATCGATGATCGGTGAAGGGAACACTTCATTTATGGCTGAGATCAATAATGCTATTAAATCAATCGTTGAAACAACAGAGTCGGATCCTGTGTTTAAACGATTTATCGCTGAAACCATTGGGGTGCATACAGAAACAGACACAAGTCCAGAGGAAGATGGTGAAGGAAAGTTAAGCCAAAAATTTGCTAATGAGTGTGTATAGATTTTATATTCTTTGAATATTTCGTTATAAATTGAATACTATAGTTTTAAAATGTTGTAATATTTTTAGAATACAAAAGAATCAAATGGAAACAGATAAGGACAATATTATCTCAGCAGAGCCAGTGGTAATAGATACTAAAGTATTCACGGAGGATGGCACAACGGATGTCCCTTTAAAACACAGACTTCGTAGTTCTTCAAGACAACAATATAACAGAGTTGAAGACGAAGTCGACAAAGCGAGAGATCAAGAGAAAGATCGAAATACTTTAGAAGATCAAAATGCAGCTGCAGTGTTGAGTATTATAAATGCCAATATTATTAACACTGTGTCTGACAATGACAAAAAGACTCTTGATGCAAAAGAATTGACAACCGTAAATGACGATAATGAACAAAAAATGCAAACGATGACATCTACAGTAAGTAAGAATGATGTTGTAAAGCCGTTAGCAGAAATAGACATACAGAAAACTAATGACGTTACATTATCTGCAAATAGCAATATACAACCTAAAATTAAAAAGTCCGTAAAGCGACTAAGACCTACGAAACCTAAACGCGATCAAACAACCAGTGATAATCAATCTAATTCTGTCCAGTCCAATACAATTCAACCTATAACAGAACACGAAATCATGACTATGCCAACATTAATAGTGTGTTCGAAAGACGAGATGGATAATCTTTTGATAAATCGCTCGTCAACTATTACATCAACTTCCACTTCGCGTTTTATTCCGATTGCTCCGAAAGATCCAAGCAGAATTAATGAAACCGTGGAAACTTTATATTTAAGGACAGTAAATGTGGCACAGCAATTACCTATGACCAAGACACTGTCATCCGTGATGGAAGAACCAAACAGTCCTGTGAACCAAGTGGGATTATTACAATCAAAAAACGGTAATGTGAACAAACGGTTAAAAATCATACACCAAACTGACATGACAGTACCCACCATCAATATTGATCAACAAATATTAAATTGTCCAATAGAATCGGTGCAAATTAATAAAATCGTTGGAGGTGAATCGATAACGCTTTACGCCAATGAGACGAGCGCCAAAACGTCATTGGATGGTACCAATATGCCTATGATCAATTTGGAGGAAAATATTAGCCTATCGGATAGCGGATTTTCTCCATATTTAAAATTTAATTGTAGCAAAATCAGCCAAGCTCACAATCTTTCGGACATTGATTTAGCGCCTGTGATGGAAAATGTGGGGAATACAACAAATAATAGAAACGAACAGTTACCTAAGAACGTCGATGTTATTACTAAACGCACTCCGAAATCTTTGTTAAAAAGTAGATCCAAAAATCATAGATTAAGCTTGTCCACGCCGCGCAAACGAAGCAGTCACATAAGGGCGCTTGACTTTAGCACTCCTACGAGAACGACAAGGAAAACGAATGGGGATGGAAACTCTCAGTTTTCATCTACATCGACGAAACGTTTGAAATCTGTTTGTAGGACTTCATTATTTAGATCACCGGCGCTTTCTAATACTTCCGCTCAAAAGCAGAAGAGTCCAATAAAAGTTAGTCAGTCTTATAGAATTCCCATAGCTACTAGAAGCCCTGCGCCCAAACTCATGGGTGGTTGGGATAAGTATAATGGTGTTGGTGTTATTATAGGGGAGGTCTCTCCACATGGGAGTACAAGCGCATCTTGTTCTTCCTCGGAGGATAGGATCGTTCAACACAAGCCGTCTAAGTCCTTAGCAGGAAGTTGGGATGCTGATTTACGTAAGAATATAGAATCGAATAAAAGAGATGAGAAAGATGAGTCGGATACCAAGAAGCCTGTAAAGAGAAAAAAAAATTCTATCAAAGATAATGAGATACATAAGAAAACTAAATACAGTTCTCGATCAACGAAGAGCAACGACGAAAGAAAGACTGGCAGTAAATTAAAAGTGAACAGAAAGTTTAAGCATGATATGGAAGACATTAATGAATTGGAAGAGAATTCTCAAGAAAACATAAGAATAACAGAACCGCAAAATAACGAAAAAGAAAATATAAAAAAAGCTACTGTTAATACTGTAGATTTCGTAACGAACAAATCTGACAAGATTTCAACTAATACCTGTGAGACATCGGCAAAAACAAATAGTACAAACGCATCCAGCAACGATGCGGCAATATCCGAAAAGAAACCTGTAAAAAAGTATGCGCAACTAAAAACAATTTCGACTAATTTAAGGAAGTCTGATAACGAAAAAGAAAAAAACATGGAAGTAACACAAATCAATTTGCAAGTGTCTGAAGTTTCGAGAATTTTATCCGTGGACAGTACACAGCATGTCTTGCGAATGCCGGATATGATGAGCTTGGAGACACCTAGAAAGTTCGACAACATATCCGGTCCTCCACCGACGCCAAGAGTACTAAGTCCCTCTAGTAATCTAATTACTCCGTTTATCAAGATCAGCGATGATTCTTCAAAGATACGTAGTTTTATTCCCACCCCGGAATTCCCGATAACCCCGGGCGTAGCTATAACTCCGAAAGAGGAGATAACTAGAGATGTTATAAAAAGAGGTGAGTACGATTCCCCATACTACAAACCCACCTCTGAGCAAGCTCAGGAATCTGATTTGAAGGTATCTAACAATAAGCCTAAAGACAACAATACACAAGAGTCACCCATTATATCTTCATCGCACATACAATTACATTCGGTGCATAATAGTCTTACTTCTGGTAATACTTATCAGACGTGTTCTTCTAAACTAGAGATAACGGAGTTCGAAGTGATCAAGGAGAATTTACCAAAGGAAGAAGCTATCAAAGAGTTCAAAATTGCATCTTCCAAAGATTCAGGAAGCGCAGAATTCAACGCTTCCATTGTAACAGATTGTCACGTGGATCTGATACAGATAAATGAATTTAAAGGTATAAGTGAGCATCAGGAAATAATAGCCGTTGCCAACGATTCTCACAATGACTCTGAGAGTAGCTCGTCATCCAATACATCATCGTCATCATCGTCATCCTCGTCATCTACATCCAGCAGTTCGAATACATCGATGAATACATGTTCGCCAAATGAGAAATGCGACAAAGCTCCAAGTAAAACGAGCACAGACATCAGTAGCGATTTCGCGGAAAAAAGCATTAACGCACCGAAAAATATAAATGATGCAACGAATAGACAAAACGCATGTAAAAAATCAGATAATGCGATTGAAACAGAGTCTTCGCCAAAGAAAATATTCGCGATCACGAAAACTGACGATCAGCTAAAGAATACCGAAAAAGAAACCCCAGCTAAAGATGAGACTTTGTTAAATGAGGCTGATATTTCGGAAACGCCCAGCAGCTCAAAAAGCGGAGTAGAAATGATTAACTTAACGACAAAAATATCGGCAATTATAACGAAAGACAAAAAATTATCAAGATCAAATAAGCCGCCAAAGAATAACAGCAAAATACAAATCGACAAACCGAGACCACTGCCAAAGATAATAGATATACAGTGTATTCAACCAGGATTGATCCAGTTGCGAAAACCGATTAAAGATGAATGCCAATCCGAGGGCGAGCAAAGCATATCTGTGAACAATAAATTTATGCAAAGGCAGCTATTAGAAGAAAAACGACAACGCATCATGGCTAAGATCAAAGATAACTTGAATCCTTGTGGAACAAAGTATAAACGCATTACAAGCAAAGCTTCAGAAGCACTAAAGAAGTTTGGTAGAGGAAACCGAAATATACGTTCAACGGTAAAATATTCCAGAAATGTTAATAAGAATACGGAGCCGCAAGATAATCGACAGGAAACCTCGAGAAAAAATACGCAAAAACAACATAAGCCGAAAAAACAAAATCTCGTGAATAAGCGCTGTGACAACAAAGAAAAAACGACGAACCAAGTTGCTGCATCGAAAAGTACAGATTCTAACTTAACGAATTATAAGAATAATGGTAGCAAGCCGCTTAACGATCATACGACCAAACAATTCGTAAATGATATTTGTGAAAATAATAGAGTCGAAAATTGTAAGAAAAACGAATTCATGGAATCGCATAATTCCTTATCAGAAAATCAAGATAATTTAAAAAAGATGCTAGATACTAAGGAGAGTATAGAGGAATACTGTAATATTGAAAGTAATGTCGACAAAGATGGAATAGGAGAAACACTTAAAAATATTGATGAACAAGAACAAATCTTGAAAAAAGAAAATTTGGACAAATATATTGTTACACAAGAAATATCAGTTCCGGATAAAGTAAAGCATGACCAAACGGAAGATAAAAAAAATAAACCGAGACAGTTTTTAAATGATAAATCTGATTACAAAATATTAAGATATAAGGTGGATCAAGTAAAGCGTGACTTATTTAGTGACGAGGAAAATGATAACAAAACATCTTCGGCAAAAAATGACAAAACTAAGACAATCGATGCAAAAATTCAAAATTCTAATCTTGAAGCTTCGGACAAGAAGGAAAACGCCAATGTCGAAAATCCTAAACAGGAATTATCGACCGTTCTTCAATGTTTGCAATTGGTGCCAGCGTCTAAAAAGGAGTATTTGCACAATAGAAAAAGTCAAGCTGAACAGCAACACAAAGAACAGAATGAACCTGAAAACGAAAGTGATGAGTTGCACCAAACAGACGATGTTCATAACAATAAAACAGAGTATCACTTTGTATATGACGATAGCATACCGATGAAAAAGAGAAGAAGGAGGTATAGCGCACATGAATTACAGATCGAAATCAATTATGCAGATCTCTCGGATCCGAATCCCGTCGAGATCATCAAGATAATGAAAGCTATTGAATTCGAAGAAATACTTAATCTTCCGCCTAAGAAACGAACAGTGAATAAAAAATCTCGCACAAAAAACGAAAAAGTTTGCGAAACACCTAAGACGGACACGTTTAATCTAAAAGATGATACCACAAAACCTTTGGCTACGTCATCTCCTGTAGATGAACCACCAAGAGCTAAAATGAAGAAGACGATTAAAACTGCTGCGACAAACAAAATTAATAACAATAAGCAATCTGATACAAAGAAAAAGCAAAAACTAGATAAGCAGGAAAAAGGTAAGATTGTAAAAACATTTTGTTATTTTTGATAAAATAAACTTATTTCTCATTGTAAAAGTTAGATATCGTTATATAAAATGTTTTAGTTTCAGATGTCATTACCAAAAGCCGAAAGAGAAAACTGTCAGAAGCAAAAGAAACGAAACAGGTAATTAAATAATTCATATTTATGTTAATACACTTATGTTACCTCTAATAATACTACAATACAATTGTTTTTATAATTCTTTATCTAGATTGAGAAGAAATGCCCGACTGATCCTCAAGCATTACTTAGTAACTTAGATGAAATGGACCTGAATAAATTCCTGTCTACAGTTCATGGACCTGAATAAATGCTCTCTTGTATATATGTATAAAAATGTAAATATTTTTTTCTATTTTTATATAATTATATATAGTATTAGAATATTAGAAGTGAAGATAGAGTATTTTATTACTGATAATCTAGATTATTTAACATTTATATACATATCTCTTCAAAGTCATTTCCATATGATCATCATTTCTTTAGCCAAATATTTTTTAAATATCGGCTTTGTGTTGTGAATAAATATTTATTATCTTTTAAGACAAAATATTTTAAGATTAATTTTTTAATTTTTAATTTTGTGAACATATAAAATTATATATAGGATGTCTCTGCATACAGTGCCAAACTGCTACAGTGGCTTCAGCACATGAAAATATATATAAGTAAAAAATATCTAATAAATATATATCTGATTCCGAATGGTTTCGAAGTTACGGAATATTAAAGTAAGAAAACATGAATCGTAATAAATGTTTTTAATATGTTTGTGTTATTTTATTTAATACTTTACAAAAGATACTCAAAAGTTTCTTTGTCGATTTCGACATATTTTTTTTAGCACGAATTAATAAATTGTTTTGGATTTTGGAAAAATATTTGGAGTTTCGCGGATGATATCAGCAGCATTAAGTATCGATTGCTATAATTGTTCTTGAAATTTCTTGATATTTTGAAATCTCATTCTCGTAGACTAGATTTTTCTTTAGAACTTTCGTTTATCAAATTGTAACTAGGCAAGTTGTAGACTCACCTTTTTCACGAGACAGTGGATGACAGTGGACGGGGCCGGTAATAGTGACATATTATTAACACATATTTATTCACATTTTAGTGGACGAATGAAAAATCTGGCCTATCGGAATAAGATTCAAAACAACAGAGAATAAAGGACATTAAATAACATTTATCGAGACTCATGTTTCCTTCAATACTCTGTAACTCCGAAACTGTTTGGAATCGGACATATATTTATTAGACACTTTCGACTTTTTCATGTGCAGAAGCCGCTGTAGTAGTTTTGACACTGTTGCAGGCATCCTGTATTTGTGTACGTAATAGAATAAAATTTATTACACTTCAGCATACACGGCCAAGAAGAGAACTTGGTTTACATATATGCAGCCTTAACCCATTCGGGTATACATATATATAATATATATATATATATATAGTTATAGGAAATATATTATCTGACGACACAGAATTTGTTATATACTGTATCCATAATTGACAATATTAATTGAATTTTATTTGTTTAATATTATAGTAACGGGAACGATTTAAAGAGAAATGATTTTTTAACAAATATCCTAAGATACTTGGAACTATTATATTTTTATAGTACAATGTACGAGACATTTTTCATGGCACTACAAAAATTAGAAAATACACAGTAACATATGATACTATATAATACATCATTATTTATGATTTAGAAAAGCAAAATCTTATGACGCAAATCAGATTAATTTTCCGAATATTATAATTTTCTTTGATAAATACCAAATAAAATATTTCATTTTTCTATTACAAATAAACGATAAACATAATTTTATTAAATAGAAACATTTCCAAATAATACACTTTTACATTTCATGTAATCTTTAGTTTCACAGAAATACTTTTAATCTGATATAAAAAAAAAATATAGTGATTACACACTTTCAAAATCTTAACATTGAAAAAAATTTAATGTAAGAAAACATTTTTTTAATTGAAATTCATTAGAATTAAAATTCTAACTCTTTGATTTGGCCACATTATCCACTTCTTCCACAACATCCATGAATTTTCGCCATTGTTGCATAGATAAAAATATTCCTATAAAGATTGAAATATTACTGAATATATTTTACTAAAAGTTTTGACAAATCTTTATATTTTTTTTAATTGATTATAAATTATCAGCTGTAAAGTTTATTAAAGTCTTTGTAAAAATGTTACCTTTTTTCCCAGGTTTTAAATCACCGTCCTTATCATAATACATCTCCCGGATATCAACATAATATTTGCCTTTGAAGTTTCTCACATTTACTTGACGATTGTTGCCCAAGTCCCAAACAGTGTCATCATCTGTTTTTGCCTTCTTTGCTGGTTTCTTCTCTTCTTTTGCCGCTTTATTATCATCTTCTCTTATTCCCTCTTTTGCTTCTTCTTTGATTTTACTTCCTATAAATAAAAAATAAGTGTGTAATATTTAAAAAATAGATAAAAATGAATATAAGGTAATTATTTAATTTAGCTCATTTTCAATCTTAATGAAATTAGACTCGATGGAGCTGAGGAAGGCTAAGCTGAAATTAGACTCGATGGAGCTGAGGAAGGCTAAGCTGAAAAATTATCAAAATAATACCTCTTCACTGCTATCATCACTGTCAGAGAGATATTCTTTTGACTTTGGCATCTTCACAAACGTCCTTAAAAAAATTCAATATCACTTTTGAGAGAGATTATTAAATGAACCACCAATGTAACAAACTTTGCTAACAATTTTCATTTGTGGTATATCTTATACAATATTATGCATCAATAAATTCGTCTCCTTTGTTAAAAATGTTTTATAAATTTTGAAATGATAGATATTATTATGACCGTTATACATTCACATACAAAAGTATAACTTATACTTTTCAGTCATTGTATTTTGACAAATATATATATATATATATATTTTTTTTGGACCATCTATCACTTTCAAATTTGAACTACTATCAAGTATTTTATCAGCACGTTTGTTAAATTGTGGTACAATTACGTAGAATTATTATGGAAAATGGTAATTATTCAATTAATCTCCCTCCAACCTCAAAAATCAATGAAATTAAGCTTATCCGACGCGTTTTTGTATGAAACGAAAGAATCTGGCAAAAAACGCGTCGCTCTGCCCCGCAAACCGAGATATCAAGCGTTAAACGACGATTATTAAGGTTAGGAAATTAACGCTTAATAGGCCTGTTCTTTTTAGCTAAACTTTTGCACCAGTTCATCTTTCTTCCTTTTCTCTCGGAGAAAAGAAGAGAAAGAAAGATGAACTGATGCAAAAGTTCAGCCAAAAAGAACAGGCCTAATAATATCTCGGTTCGCGAAGCAGGCGACGCAATTTTGCCAGGTTCTTTCGTTTCATACAAAAATGCATCAGATAAGCCTAATTTCATTGATTTTTGAGGTGGGATAAACTGAACAATTACCTGGAAAATAACATACCAATTATATTTCTTGAGCGAATTGAGATGAATTGAACCGAATCGTTCTCTTTTTCGTTTCGTTTTGCTAAACTGCGCTAAACACGGATGATGAACGCGAACAATATTGGACAGATCTTGCGTATGCGCAGTAGTGCAAACATGTACTTACCTTGCTTACATTTTTTTATACTTTTTACACTTAACATGAGATAAGATATATATTTGGCGCTAAAAAGAGAGAAAGCGAAGTGTAAAAAGTGTAAGCAAGGCGAACAGACCTATTAGTGGCGTTTTTTTCGTTATGCAACTAGGGTAGCGATCATGTAACTTTTTCCCTAGGGAGGAAACGTGAAAAGTGAAAATTTTTTGTATGTATGTGTGTATATGTACGAACATACACATAAAAATTTTCACTTTCATGTTTCCGCTCTAGCGAAAAAGTTACATGATCGCTATCCAGAAGCAACCACGACTAAGGCTATCTTCGTCTTATGATCCCTGAAGATAGCCTAAAGCCCATGGCACATACAAAAATGTAAGGCCGTAAGACATAATCAGTAAGCGAATTGGCCAATCACGATAGAGACCGTAAGGCCAGTAGCGAATCCAATCTTACGATTTCTTTACTGCTTACGTATTACGGCCTTACGTTTTTATATGTGCCATGGGCTTTAGCTGTGGTAGCTTCTGATTGGATAACGAAAAAAATCCCAAACGCTTGTACTGAATTTATGCCTACTGCACACTGGACACAATGAGCGACTAGCGATATTCAATAAAACCTTTGCTTTTTCTCACGTGATGATGTAAAGCAGAGCTCTCATTGAATATCGCTCATCGCATCTAGTGTGCAATGGCTGCGTTCAGTAGAGAAAGCAGCTTTGCAACTGTTGTAAAATTCTTCAATACGATTGGTTCTTGCTTTTGGTTCCTGACAGATCTAAATGTATAAACCAATCATATTGAAGAATTTTACAACAGTTGCAAAGCTGCTTTCTCTGCTGAACGCAGCCAATATGTCTACTGCACACTGGACCATGGTGGAAATACATAAGGTGAGCTATTGTGCATAATGGCGATAGCAATACTGGAAATAACCAATCAAATGTGTTCCAACATGTACTTTCTGATGTATAATAGCACTGGTTATACTGGAATAACCAAATGTCCAAATTCATTCTCCTACTGCGCATCCATGGGAATAGGTTCACATTATTAGTATTTCCACTGCACTGGACGCGATGGGCAGTGAATGACGAGTGATATCCAATGAAAGCTCTGCTTTTTCTCACGTGTCGATGCAAAGCAAAACTCTCATTGGATATCTCTCGTCGCTCATCGCCTATCGCGTTCAGTGTGCAGTAGGCAATAGGCATATCTCGAGTGATTCAAAATGGAATTTAGGGTGCGGTCCACTTGGCGCTACAAATTACAGTCTCATCCATTACCCTGGATCTACAATAGGGTTTTAAGTCTTAAGTCATAAGAAATGGACGAATCACAATCGATTATTCCCCTCGGATTCGACTGTAATTGGTCAGTTTCTTACGGCTTAAGTCTTAAAACATCTATGTAGACCCCGCATAAGAAAATCGTAATGCGTCGTCTACAATCGCAGTATTAGTAAGTCCGGATCTACAGCGGTATCTCCGAACTCTTCGAGGTACAAACGAAAGTGAGGGAGGTACAAACGGGTACAAATGATTCTCTTTCGAATGCCGTTGGTCCCATTTCGATATCTTGAAAATTGGCCAAGTTAGCTATATAGGGCTTGCGCAAAAATTGAAAAGCGCGGTATCTTCGAACCCTTCGAGATACAAACGAAAGTGAGGGAGGTACAAACGGGTACAAACGATTCTCTTTCGAATGCTGTTGGTCCCATTTCGATATCTTGAAAATTGGCAAAGTTAGCTATATAGGGCTTGTGCAAAAATTGAAAAGCGCAGTATCTCCGAACTCTTCGAGGTACAAACGAAAGTGAGGGAGGTACAAACGGGTACAAACGATTCTCTTTCGAATGCCGTTGGTCCCATTTCGATATCTTGAAAATTGGCAAAGTTAGCTATATAGGGCTTGTGCAAAAATTGAAAAGCGCTGTATCTCTGAACCCTTTGAGGTACAAACGAAAATAAGGGAGCTACAAACGGGTACAAACGAAGTACAAACGCCCTACGGTATTAATTTTTATTTTTGGTAAAGTTGGGCGCCAGGTTCACACCGGTGCAAAGAGAGCGGTCCAATGTCCAACTTTATATTAACTGAATACCTGTGATAATGGCGCTATTCGCCTATCTTAGTATATATATATTAATTTTAATCTTATTAATTGTAGTATATATTCCGACTGTTGGACGAGACTCCTCTCTGCTAGTTTCAATTATTTATCTATTTATTCGGTTTTACTTCTGTAATCTTTCTTGCTCTTAGCTATGCTATTTTATTCTCTACTTATTTCCTATCCTTTCTACTTTCTATTCTATCTTCTTTCTTTGTTTTTTAAGTAATATTGTACTCTCTCCTTTTAATTTATTTATTTATTCTAATTGTTTGTGGGGCCCTGACTGTTTGAGAGTGTATGCCGCGTAAAGCGACTATTGTATTTAATACGAGTGTGAATGTGTGCGCGTTCTACATTATTTAATTTTATTAATCATTATATAGTATTGCCGCGCACGCTCCTCCGGGACTTTTATATTTTTGACGATATTTTTGTGATATCCCGGAGGAGCCCTAGTTGTGATAACGTATCCCCTCAGCCTGCGTACTGGAGGAATGAAATACTATGATATTTTTGCGCTGGCGAGGGGCTTGCCCCTGAGCCTCTTAGTTGTTAATGCCCATGCGGGGGGGGGCTCTGTCCCCCGCAATGAATATATTTTTACGAGGGGCACTATTTATATTTTGAGCCTAATAATAAAAAAACAGTAATTTGTCATTGAAAATGACTATCGTTTTTCAAAATATTCTCCTTTATGATCTATACACTTTTGCATGCGTTCGAACCACTTGTTTGCACCAATCGACACGAGCATCTTTTTGAGATTTTGTCAGATTATGTGGGATCCAACGAGAACAAACCTTTTTTACGGCTAAATGATCATGCAATATTTTATATATGCTGGTGGAACTAATGCCTAAGGTTGTCTCAGTCTCACAGTATGTCACATAACGATCTTGCATTATTAGTTTTTGCACAGCATCAATGTTTTTTGACACAACAACTGATTTTGGACGACCTTCACGACTTTCGTCGGTGAGCGAACGGCGACCACGATTAAATTCGTTATACCAGCGTTTCACAGTGGCAAAGGATGGAGCTTTATCGCCAAAAGTGGAAGTAAGTTGATCGATGCACTCCTGTCTTGATAATCCACGTCGAAAGTCGTAATAAATCATTGCACGAAAATTTTCACGAGTTAATTCCATTTTTTCGCTGAGACACAATTTTCAAGTGACTGTAAACAATACAAATCGCGCTCAAATAACAAAACGTTCTGAAGAAGGTTATGGTCAAAAATGTCAAACTTTCTAGTGGAAACGTCAGATGGCACCTGACAACACTCAGTGTTGTCAAGGCTCAAAATATAAGTAGTGCCCCTCGTATTGGCGCGCGGCCTAGCCGCTTATTTTTGTATTACCCCAGAGAGGAGATGTCTCTCTGGGGAACTTCTTTGATAAATAAAAGTGAGCTAATCAGCTTAAGAGGCAGATCTTAAACATGATAAAACGTAAAAAAATCTTCAATCTTCAATCAATCTATAAATCCAACTTTTATTGTTTGCATTAATAATTTACTTGTGTCAAAAATTATATCATTTATATAACTTCTGCAAGAACAGCTAAATATTTCATTTTTTATATTTGACAATTAACTTGTATATCTTACAATTAGTTTTATGAATAATTTTACTGGATGTGATATACTAATGCGATGTACTCGAAATTTTATTTCGAAACAGTCGCAACTGTCGAAATCTTATTTTATGTAAAATGGTTACTTATGCACCTCATATGCGATGACGCCGTAAATTAAATACAGTAAAAGGTTTGATGTGTACACACATTTATTCACTTTCTTCCTTGGAACGCTCTCTATCCGAGCGTCTTGATTTCTTCTTACGCGACCGAGTTGGACTCCGTGATCTTGATTTGTGTCTACGAGATCGCGATCTTGATCGATGCCGATGTCTAAAAGTATCAAAATTGATACATATTAATGTATTACATAAAAAACGTATTATAGTGTCTGATATAAAATTTTGGAAAAAAAAAGAATATAGATTATTACCGATCTTTATGTCGATATTGAGATCTGGATCTATCACGCTCTCGATCCTCATCTCGCGTCATAGAGTCTCTATCGCGATCCCTCATCATGGAATCCTTTTCTCTATCACGATCTCTATCCTTGTCCCTATCTCTGCTCATGGAATCTAATTCCCGGTCGCGATCCCTATCTCTGTCTCGTTCCCGGTCTCTACCATCCCTCTGATCGCGCGGCTGCATCAGAGGTGGAATGTTTGTTGGTGGAACCATCGTAGGTATCGTCTTAGGTCCTATATCTTTGTCGTCTTCACCTTCAGTCATCGGGATTGCTAGATTTGTTGGCTGCCATGTCTTTAAAAAAGAGAAAACATTTTTTTACTTTATTTTTTCAGAGTAGAATATTTCCTAAAATAAAATAAAATTATCTTATGTTACAAATATATATATATAGTAGTTTTTAGGTTATATAATTAGATAAATTAGATAAATTCAAATAATTTCTATAAATAATATTATTTCCACAAATTGTTTATATTGTACAATTCTTACTGGATCATTGCCCCATTGGTTATCTTGTGTGGGTTCATAACTCTGATAATATGGGTCAGTTTCTGGCATGTAGAACGGCGTCGGTTCTCCAGCATATCCTGGTGGAGGTATGTCGAATGGCGGCGGATGCTCCAGGAGGTGGTACGCTCATATCAGGGAAACCTGGTTTTCTAGAATACTCTCTCCTGTCGGCAGTCATGACTTGTATAACATTTCCCTTTGGTGGAGATTTATCCAGATTTCTTCTGGAAGCTAAACCAGAGCTTCCTATAACATCTATAGTCCCTGCCATTTTCCTTCCAGGTGGTGGGCCAGCTCTCTTAGGACCCATAATGCCAGAGTATTTGCTGTTGTCATTGGTTATCGCTACTTGAGGCATTCTCATACCACTTGGATTACCACCACCACTACCTGCATTTAAGACCAATCCTACTCCAGACTCGCTTCGCATTCGCTTCTGACGTTCGCAATACGCTCTCCAGGTGTCTTCATTGAAACCATAGTTGAAATAATCTGTGATATCTGCACCAGGTTGTCTCCATGGTTTATCCTCTAATTGATCTAAATTGAACTCATGGGCTGGTATCCCATTGATAACACCGATAGTTTCAAATTCATCTATACTGAACTTTCCCGGCTGTTTGTTCAGTTTGTCTGATACACCAGACGTATTTGTTAGCAATCCTCCTCTCTTGATATTTAAATTACCATATGTTGGTGCTGACTTGATATCACCAATAACAACATGTACATCATCATCGGAATCAGATTCGCTGACAGCTTCACCATCTTCCTGACTAGAAGCTTCTCTCGTCCCATTTTTACTTGCTTCTAAGTTCTCTTCTTGTTCATTATTCAACAAAGAAGATTCTTCATCACCACCACCAAGGGAGTCAGTAACCTCTTGCATCTGTAAAAAGAAACGCATGCTTTAAAAACAATATCGAAATGTATAAAAAGGTTAAGTGTTCAGAAAGAAAGACTAGAAATATGATACATATATTGTATATATTAAAATATGATATATTTATATATTAAAATATACATAAACTATATATTTTGTGATGGATTTATTTATCTTTCTCTTCTACCTATAGATTTGTTTATTATTCAAGTTTCTTTAAATTCTCTTAGATTAAAAACTAAGTTAGATGCCTTTAATCTTTCTTTTAAATCATATAGCACAGTCTTACAAAATATAATGTTTATTGTTCAAGTATTGTGTACAGGTTATGTCGTATCATTAAAACATGTGCATACATACATAATTAGAAAGACTATGTGATATAAGATATCAAGCATACTAAATCTTTAATACTGAAATAAATGTAAGATCTTTGCATGATGTTTTGAGGGAAATCAATTAATAGTAAGCGATCGAGAGGTTAGGTCGCATACATACCTCGGACGGTATCTCATCAACACCTTCCATTTTCTGATCCTCCCGAATTTGCAAGTTCTCCTGAACTTCGGAGAGTGTCGAGTCATTTTGCTGAATCTCTGATTGAATATTCGTCGATGTATACTCCTTGCCATCGGTTGAATCTCCGTACAACCATTGATCCTCGCTTTCATCCGCCATTTTTCCTGCCTCCTGCATATGAATTTACCAAACCCCTTGCGAGAGACCTCTTGTACTGCTCATACATATCATGATGGAAGCGGGTAGAAAAATCCCTTCCACTCACCCATGTTGATGACGTTTAATTTATCATGTGGGATCATGTTCGTTTTCTGTTCCTGCATTAGACTGCACTAGAACTCTCTTTTCGCCAAATGTCAAACATACCTTTTTCACTTTAAATTCCAAAAGTGTACATTAGTTCATCCACAGAAAACAGATCGCTTAAAGGCCGGAATCAGACTGTGCATTGAAGATTGAGATTGAAGAGTGAAGATTGAAATTTGACCAATGAGGATAAAAGAATTTTAGCTCCTATTGTTTTGATTGATCACATTTCAATCTTCAATCTCAGGTCGCTTTCGGCCGGAATCAGACTACGCATTGAAGATTGAAATTGAAGATTGAAAAATTCGAATTTGACTAATCGAAACGAAAGGAGCTAAAATTTCTTTGTCCTTATTTGTCATATTTCAATCTTCAATCTTCAACCTCAATCTTCAATGCGCAGTCTGATTCCGGATATTTCCGAATGCAGCCCATAGAGAAAGAAACCATGGAACGGAATATTGACAGAAAAGAGATAGGATGAGAGTTATGCTCATCCTATCTCTTTTCTGTCAACATTCCGTTCCGTGGTTTCTTTCTCCATGGGAAGGCAGCTCCAATGTTCAATGCGTAGTCTGATTCCGGCTTAAATAGAACCAAGTAGAACTACTTACACTCATGGACTCATGGTGGAGAACTATTAATGCCCGTTTCCACCAATGTAGATTAACTTTAATTTCGGTTCAACTTACTCATCATCTTTTTCTAGTTCTAAAGATTAGAAAAAGATAAAGAGTAAGTTGAACCGGATCAAAGTTAATCTACATTGGTGGAAATGGACATAAGTAGAACTATTGGATGCATTCAGTACTACGATCGCTCACTATGAGCGCTCAGTGAACTCTTGTATCTGTTTGGTCTATATTTTTAGTTCTAACGGAATATGCCAATAAGATGCAAGCGCTCAGTGAGCGGTTGTAGTACTGAATGCACCCATTAGGCCTGTTCTTTTTTGGCTGAACTTTTGCATCAGTTCATCTTTCTTCCTCTTCTTTCCTCCTGGGGAGAAAAGGAAGAAAGATGAACTGGTGCAAAAATTCAGCCAAAAAGAACAGGCCTATTAAGGCCCAGTTCCACAACTCACAGTTAATTCTTAACCGAGGTTCAACTTATTCATTGTCTCTTTCTAATTCTAGAATTGGAAAGAAATGAGAAACAAGTTGAACCTCGGTTAAGAGTTAACCATGAGTTGTGGAACTGGGCTTAAGTAGAACTACTTACATCATGCTTACACCATAATTGGGATATTTGTTATTTGTTTATATTATAATTGCTTGTAAGTTAGACTCTTTACTGGATTTCATGATGCTCGAAATTAGTGCGATGACAACGATATTACGCAGAATGTTTAGCAAGAAAGCATTCAAGCCGGACCCTAAACCATACGCCGGTATTCGTAAAAAAATGAAATCAATGAAAAATGAGTCGGTTGATACTTTCGATGCTGAAGACGTAAGTGAATTCGAAGCGGACTTTATGAATGTCGGTATTAGCCATAAAATGTATGAAAGGTATGTACATCGTCTAAGACGAAGATTTTATATATTACATTTAGAGCCGATTGTTCCAAGTTCTTGATAAAGTTTACCTGTTAGATAAGTAGCAAGATTCCAATTACGTGCACGGATTGTCAGATTTACCTAACAGGTAAACTTTATCAAAAGATGGAACAATCAGCCCTTAATGCTGGAATATAATGTTATATATAAATAATATTTTATAATTATATGTATATATAAAATTTTATTTGTTTTATCTATTTAAGTTTATTTCATAATATTTAATCTAATATTAACTGGATAATAATTTCTTTCCATTTACATCAAAACTCAAATAATTCTCTCTACAGACTACATTTATTTTATTTTATACTTATTTTTTATGAGTTAACTCGTATTGAAAGTGAGATTATAAACCTATATTTTTATGCAATAACTTTGTTACCAAAATAAGCAAGCAGTAACATCTTCTTGAGGCTTTGACGGATGCTTTCTGTATGAAGGTTATCCATTTCGTGGGTTTTCTCCATATTCTGGAGGAACAGCCCAGTATCAGGCTGCTCCTCGCCCTGATGAAGTGGACTGCAAGATTCACAAAACATTTGCATTCCAAGAATAGATTTGGACACGGAGAAAACCTGCGAAACGGATAACCTTCAAGCAGTAACATCCTTATCTGAGTATAAAATATTTATGTAACCTTAGACTCATTATCACTTGTGTGAAAATGGAAAACAATTGTTATTTGTTGAAAATTGTGAAAATATTGTATATAATAAAATATATTCAATTAATTTATTATGAGACATTGATTTTTTTCAGGGAGAAGCAGAGCAGGAAAGAACGTCTTAAACAACAGATTGTTATTCAAAAGTATTTTAAAGAGAAAGAACCACGTTTTCTCACATTTTCTGAAAAGGAACTTATTAATAAGTTACATAACTTCAATCCTGAAGAGTGGACAATAGAGAAACTCAGTGAGAGTTTTCCTGCTTTACCAGAGACAATACAAAAAATCTTGCACACTAAATGGTCACCAAAATCAGTGGAGAAGGTTGTAGCATACGACAATGTGGTGAAGCGAAATTGGGAAAAATTCCGGATGGGTGAACTTCTATTAAATCCCATACTCAGTGAACACCTGACAAAATTTAAGGACAGGAAAATTATTTCGACAGACAGAGAATTATTAGCGAAACAGTTTGTCTCTACACCAGAATTTAAGAAACCAAAGAGTCAGTTGTTCTCTAGTATTGTACAAATTTCTCTAGATGAGAAACAGGGGGATATGAAATTATCGCAAGAGCATAATTCAAGTAAATTGACAGATAAATCTAATCATGAAAATCAGAATTTATTGACTGCAAGCACTACGACCGATAGTATGGCTGTTACTAAAAGTACAGAGAGGACTTTCACATTAAATAAGAAACTATCTTCTACATCGCGTATAGATTCACAAGAACATGATGTACCATTTACTAAGAAAAAAGGGAAGCTACTTACATTCGATGAATTTGTAAAGGTGAAACTTAAAGATATAAATGAGGAATCTCCGGAAGAAGGTACCACTCTCCTAAATACATACAGGAAGCAAATAGATAGTAGTCAAGAAATGCAGAGTATAGAAATTGCCACAGCATCTGACAATGCAGTAATTTATCCAAAGGAAGATGCTCTATCCAAAATTGTACGGCAACCTGAGAAAGATGTTTCTATAAATTCTAAGGATAAAAATAGAAACTTCAATATCATTGAAGCAGATGACAATTTGTTAAATACTTCCATCAAAGCGTGGAATAAAAAAGTGGACGTAGAATTAAACTATGCTAAGCCAATAAAGATTGCAAAGCATCTTTACAAACCTGGAATGACGTATCGGATTAGCGATTGTTATTATGATGATGACGGAGAATTTTTATATCGCGTTCCGAGTGTACATAGTTGAATGTCAACTTATAGATTATTAATATAGATAACAAATTTATATGTATAATAGACATAAAATAAAGACTGTGACTTCTCTAATATTAATTCATTATCAATTTTTTTTATTATATCAAATGTAATTGTATTTTTCATATTTATTCGTAGACATATTTTATTACATTATTTATATTTGAATTATATAAAATGAATATATTCTCCTATCGTGTGTATGACCAGTATGACTAATATTGAATATATTCATCCGTTTTTTATCATACGAGTTTGTCATAAGTTTTTTAATTATTAATTACTTAGGGAGTTCTTGCAATAGCGTTTATCTGATACAGTGAACGCTAAGGTCAGGTTATCTTCTTCTTAACAACTAATTAAGAAAAGGATAGCGTGACTTTAGCGTTCACCGTATCTGAATTCACGTTATTGCAAAAATTCCCTATTGACTTTAGCGTTTACTGTATCTGGATATCTAGCGCAACTTTCCGGTTCGCGTAAAGGAGCCACGTCCGTGGTTCGCGCCATAGCTTAGCGTCGAGACACTACCGTGTCTCCAGATACGGTAAAAACTTCCTAATAGAAAGAAAAAACGAGTACTATTGATTGCATTCAGCATAGAAAATTAATCAGCTTAGTGATTCTTTAATACGATTGGTTCTTGCCTTTAGTTAGACTTTAGCGTTTACTGTATCTGGATATCTAGCGCAACTTTCCGGTTCGCGTAAAGGAGCCACGTCCGTGGTTAGTGGGTGCATTCAGTACCGCGACCGCTCACTGAGCTCTTGAATCTGTTTGGTCTATATTTTTAGTTCTAACGGAATATGCCAATAAAATGTAAGCGCTCACTGAGAAGACCATTAGCTGCGTTCAGCAGACTCAACAGTTTTGCAACCGTTTTATGATTGTCTGCTGAGATAGGACCATTCTTCTAGATCTAAAAGTATGATCCAATTAGCGCGAAGGAAACTTCCAACAGTTGCAAAACAAACGTTCTGCTGAACGCAGCCAGTATGTAGCTAAAAGGAACAGTCGTTTTACATTGGTATCACTGCAGAAATCAACAGAGAGTGGTGGTTGGATCTACTGCGTAACCTATATATAGAGTTTGCAACAAAAAATTAAATAAGTATCGAATTGATATGCAACATTAATAAATTAATATCGTACTGATATATAACATTGTCTTCAAATATGATATCAACTGCTAGAGCTGTGCTTCATGTTGAACGACATATAAGTTAATATTAAAGAGTTATTGTGATTTATAAGTTATAATGTTGTTCTTTATGTAATTTATGATATATTTAATTTTTCTTATGATATAATCAACATTTATTTCTTGTAATTATCAATTGATATATTATTGATGGCTTCATATTATCCGTTATTACAGATTATAATATTGTGGTTAATGGATTTCATCTATCTTGCGTACATCACATAAATCAAAGATGGAGACAGAAGTATGATTTCTGAAATTATCTATGTTTAAAATTTAAATCAGAATATTTAACATAAATACAATGATGCCTAAGTTTATTGTATAGTTATATAGGTACAGAATATCTATAATGTAGAAAATATGAATGTAAAAATTTTGTTATTTGAATTACTTTACATATAAAATTTATTAATATAAATCTTAATGATACTAATAGATGTGTGTAATTTCCAGTTATAACTCTAATTAGTATAATATATTTTAGACGTGGATTAACAGCTAATCCAAATACTTTTGGTCCTTTGACAAATTTGCCAGATTATATATTTAAAGATGGAAGACCTACGCCTCTTGGAGTAAGACAAAAAGCACGCTTAGATAAACAACGTGATTATGCGGTATGTAAAATAAATAGAGATTGTTATTTGTTATGGAATTATGTACCATTCTTTATTCCATTGATTTCCAGGCAAAAATTATCAAATTAGTAGGAGAGGTAGATTTTGCTGTTGAAAACCATGCTAGAATGCAGGAAAAGAAAAAAGAAGAGAGGCAAGAAATCTTGAACAATAAATTGAAACCTAAAGGAGATTTACTACTTCAAATACAAGCAGATACGATAGAAAAGTAGTTTTTATATATTAGATAAAAAAGTAATATACTTACTTAAATATTATCTTATATATGAGTTTTATTTTTCCATTATTATCCTTTTGCTCATGCGATCAATAGATAAAAGTCGATACTTGGATCACATTCCATGAAAATACACGTGAATAGAAGGCAATGTTAGAAAATGTGATATACAAATTAAGAAAACATATTTTCAATATTTTGCATGATTTCCAATATATATTGTAATATTTTGCAAAGTATATGTAAAGGGATTATTTTTAATTTTACATCAATAACACATACTGAACAATTAATTACATACTAATTTATCCTTTAATTGTGTCATTAATCTCGATTGGCAAGTAACACTGATACATAGCCAGCCGATGTTTTTAGCAACTGTAATGTAATAATATAACATTTGATCTTTTAACGGTAAAATATAAACTTAAATGAAATATATATATTAAGAAATTATAACATGTGCGATAATCTCAAACGATATTATTTAATGATTCTAGTAAAATTACAAAAAGATTGCATATTACTTGTATGTGTCATATAACTTACGTTGCAGAACGTGGACATTGTCATCGGAAACGTTTTTCCCGCTGTAATATTGAGTGGTTTTTTTGTACGCAGCATAATTAATATCAGGTTTCTTGCTGCCTTTGGCTCCAAAGTATACCATACGTATTCATATGTGGCGCGATGTATTTTTTCGGACTGAGAAAATATGTTTCATATATTCATTATTGAGAAATTAATTGGATTAAAGGATTAATCCTTGCGCGCATACGCGAATGAGAGAAAAGTGAGATTAATTATTTAAATTATGTCACTTGACACTGTAAAAGTTAGATTTATTGAGAATTAAATCCATTGATTGAATTACAATTAAAATGTACGATTTTTATAATTTCTATTTTTCTACTTTCCTACTGCAAGCTATTATACGTTCGTGATAATTCATTATTATATGTTTCAATAATAGAGGAAAGTCACCGATATTGACATAATCTCTTAATAAGAGATGCCTCCTTATTTCTCGGAACTAATAATTGTATTTTATTAATACTGATAAAAAGGTGATTTAGATAATTAAAGAAGTAAAAACTTATAACTTATATATTTGTGGTTTGTTTTTATACGAAATCAACTAAAAATGGCAAACAAAAGTAAGTTCCACTTAAAACATTTTTTTGAAATAATAAATAATTTGAGAGATAATTGCGTCCGATGAAACTTCAAATGGGATATCTCGATTATTACGGGTGTATTAAAATTTATATTTTTGAAAATTATGACTATTGTTAAAAAATATTTTCGTTTACAGTTAAAGTTATAAAAACATTTTAAGGCATAGAATTAAATTATTCTCGTAATTATTATTAAAGAAATCATTATTATACTCACTTGAGCCACAAGAAGTTCACCGACCGCACAATAAAGACATGTATGCAGCAAAACACATATAGTGGCGGACATGTACCAAATCAATTGCATGAATGACAAGTGACCATCTCGATTAGCAATCTAAATTATTGTAAATTATATACATTATATTTTAAAATTATTATTTTATTGATTTGAAAGTTATATTACATGAAAAATTGTAAAAAATGAAACATCTATAAAGTAACAGCAATGCATTTTGATAAACGCATCTTGCAACGTCAATATTATTATTTATTAATTAACCAATTGTAAATGCTAATATATCTACCTTAGCACTATGATATATGCTGTATTGTTATTTTTACTTACATTAATTATTAGAAATCCATCAAAACAAAACAATACACCAAAAAAGAATAATAGACCGAGCAGCATTAAATTGAATGTGTTATCAATGGTTTCTATAGATCTGTAAAATATATATTATGAAATAAAAAACGATACATGAATTTCAAATGTTATGTAAAACGTTTATACATTTTCTATAAAGTTATTTAAAAAAATTCGATTTCTATTATTTTAAAAGATTCTAACTTTTACATTTATGGCTTATTTCTAAAATATTTAAATTATGGTATGAAGCAAAATTGCACATTGCATTTTATTTTTATCAAATTTTGATATATTCTTTAGAGAATTTCTTTAGAGAAGAGATCCGACAAATCGATTTTGAACACGACTCGTGAATATTTTCGATTTAGGACCTGATCAAGCGAATATGATCTTTCACGTTGTACTTTAAAAGCTCTTTGAAATTTGAATTCTTCCCCAAATTCAATAGTCGCAGATGTAGATTCTCCACCTGGCCGCATATATGTAAGATTAGAAGTCCAAGGAAGTTGTCGACTGCGGTATAAGAGAGACCAGATGTAGTCAGTCCGATTACTTGTATCAAATATGTTAATTCAAAATTCGGGCTGTTAGATATATCGTGCGGATAGTATGTTTGGATTGGCAAAGATTTTCCAACCGGATCGGTAAAATTCGTTACGTGCCTAAGAGTCTTGCCAAAAAGGAAAGAGCCAAAGGTTATCAGCAATGTGGAAAGTATTAAGAGTGCTCCGCAAATAGCAAGCAAGCGGATGATTCTGGCTTGTTTTAGCATGACGATTCGTTCCTCTTCCATTTTCACTTTTATCCAATCTTTCACGATCATGTTAATCAACGGTGATAAAGCTAAGAAAATAATTTGTCTTTAATATACACATATGTGATATTATCTTCTTGTAACATTATTGTGATATTGTGCTCGTGTTCTCAACTCAATTTATGGATTTGGTACAGCGGGGTAGTATATATTTGTTAAAATTTATAGTTTCGAAAAGTAGTCGAAGCGTTTATGTATTAGCTTAATAAAATAATAAAATGGAGAAAAATATGAAAAACTGAGATAATCAGTTGTTAAATAATAAAATACCTCTTTTGTTGTACCACATGATGAAAACTTTCAATAACGTTATCAAAAGAGGCAGGGTATATTGTAAATTATCTATCATTAATATCATATCACCCCATACTCTTATCAGTGACATTAAAGCAGGTATAGTCAATACGAAAATCAACATAATAACATTGAATAGAAATCGAATCTTCGATAATAATTCTTCACGTTGATTTTTGCTTTTTTCCGGCCACAAACCGATAATTTTCAACATGCAGCGATTCAGACTGATCGCCCATTCTAAATCTGTGTAATCAATCTAAAATATTAGAATTATTTATTTAAATATTATTTTATATGTGTAAAATATTATATATGTTTTTTTATATAACTTTACATATTAAAATATTAGATGGATTTACTCGATTACTTTACACTTTACACTATAAAACGCAACTTCACATATTTTTTCGTATAGCTTTATATATTATATTTTATATTCTTAAATATTGTGAAGGTAATATATATATATACACAATTATATCATTTCTTAATAAAAATTTCATTTTTTAAATTAAAATACATATTAAGTATCAAATTAACATAAGTCCACACAGATTTATATCATTTTTACATAAGAATTCGTGGTCTGCACCGACTTAAAACCTTATTGAATACACAAGCTAGATAGAGAAAAAGAGAGAGAAATAATTGAAAAGCAGAATACATTTTTTTTTAATTTTGAGGCTATAAAAATAATGAATTCATTTTTTAATTATTGTGTTGTACATACAGCAACTTAATTTAATAACATATAAGGTATAAGGTATTATCTATTAGAATTAGATACGAAAACAAAAATATGCTGTTCTCAATATTGAAATTTAAAATGTTAATTATTGTGTCTTGCTTTTCACCCTCTTTTTGTTTTATGAATAAACATTTAATACAGTAATATTAAATTATAAGACAGAGAAATAATGCTTTATGTTTAATATATGTCTCGTAAAATTATTAACAGAACAAAAAAGAACACCATTATATTCATCCGAACTATCCATTGGTCAAAGAATTACTGATCTTCCTTCGTCAACGATATCATCCCCACTTTCTGAACGTTATTACCACGCATGCTTCTGACGAAATTCTTGAAACACGGTACATTGCACCGTCGTAAATATTGCAGCAATCAGAACGAACATGTGCTGTTATCGTCTCGTCAAAGTGTTCATTCGGCGAAAGGGTAGGATGTATAAATTATAATGGTGAGTGCGCAAAAACGAGCATCGAAGTCCATTGGTACTGGTCATTATTTTGTATTTTTTCTCTTTTGCGAAGACTTCATAAATGAAAGGTCGCAACTGCGCGTATAAGAAAAAGAATTTTTACGTTCGTAATAAGAAGACGAAATGGCCACATCGTAAAAATTTCAGAAGATCCGTGGAAGGTGCACAGCTTGCAGATACTTTTTGCGCTGCTAAAAAATTCTGTTGCTGAAAGAGAAAAGAATTGCCATCTGTTAGACCCTTTGATGGTACATTATTAATGAATCTGTAGCTGCAGGTCGTTTCACCGAGCAGTTGAGACGTAACCAAATAACGAAAATGATAGGAAGAAATAGTGACAATAAGTTATAATGATAAGTAATAGTGACAATTTGTCGGTGTTAATTTGAGTTGTTATTAAAAGAGGTGTGACCGCACACAAGTTTATAATAATAATAACAATAAAATAATTTTAAGGTCAAGATGTTTAAAGTTGGAAAGCTATTGCTTTTCAAACATATTAATGTTATAATCTTTTTCTTTTTCTTATCAACATACCTTGTGCGATGTAGAAATCGCTTCGAGATTTCCAGATGAAGAAAGATTTAACAAATTACATTTGAATAATTCGGCTATTTGACTGATGCGATTGTTCAATTCTTTCTCAGTTTGAGAAAGCAATCGGAGCAATTGTTAACATTGTTAACTCGAGATTTCAAGAGAGGAAATCTTCTGCTATTCTGATCACGGTCTTCTGTATCTTTATTGCTTCCAATTATACGCGTATGCTATCAATAGTTGGTAAAAGAATTGATTTTATAATATAATTAAGATGCATTTTGGAGAATGTGATATTTAAAATATATATTTCTAATGTTCTCTACATAATTTTCAGTACATGTTGCAAAACTTATTCATAGGATATTTATATAAATAATTTATTTTTAATTTTATGTCATCGTGGCATGTATTAGATAAGCAACTATATATTAAGATTATTAAGTTATCGTCTGATTATGTCATCATTAATCTCGATTGGCAAGCAACACAGATACATAGCCCGCCGATGTTTTTAGTAACTGAAACATTTAATTATTTAACGGCAAAGTATTAAAGACTTGGAAGAAATACATTAAGAAATAAGGGATACAATGATCTCAAACAATACTATTATTTCATATAATTCAAGTAAAATAAGGAAAAAAGCTATTGCATATTTTATACGTTTCACATAACTCACGTTACAGAACGTAGACATTGTCATCGGGAATGTTTTTCCCGCTGTAATATTGAGTGGTTTCTTTGTACGGAGCATAATTAATGTCAAATTTCTTGCTGTCTTTGGCTCCAGAGTGTACCATACGTACTCATATACGGCGCGATGTATTTTTTCGGACTGAGAAAAATATATTTTATCATGAAAAAGTTTATTTATTATTAAAAGATTAATTTTTCGAATAGAGAAGAAATAGAATTAATTATTTAAATAATATTTTTTTAATAATTATTTATAAATTTAAGAAATAGAAAAGTTAGATTTATTGAGAATTAAAATCGATTGATGTTACAAAAAGTAGGATATTTTATAATATTTCCCAAGATTATATAATATTAACTTCATGGTAATTTATTACATATAGCTTCAATACTATACATATATAAGACTGTACTGACATAAATAATTATATCTTAAAAAATTATAACTTAAAAAATTGTAACTATATTGTTAAATTTATAAAATTAAAATTATAAAATGTTTCAAATCATAGAATTATATTATTATTTGCATTTTGTCCTTATTAATAAAAATCATTCTTATATAATACTAACTTGACTCACGAGAAGTTCACCAATCACACAATAAAGACACATATGCATTAAAATACATATAGTCGCAGACATGTACCAAACCAATTGCAAGACTGATAAATGACCATCTCGATTAACAACCTATAAAATTATTATAAATTATATACATTATATTTCAAAATATATTTTATTTAATTATTGTTTTGAAAGTTATTTACACAAAAAATTGTAGTAAAAAGTGAAACATCTGTAATGGATTAGCAATTCATTTCATAAACGCATCTTGCAACATCAACCACTTATTATTTGTTAATTAGCAATATTTATCTTAGTAAAATGCTATATAATTATTCTTACTTACACTAACTATTAGAAATCCATGAAGACAAAATAGGATCCCAAAAAAGAATAACAGACCAAGCAGCATTAAATTGAAAGTATTATCAATAATTTCTATAGATCTGCAAAATAAATATAATGTAAAATAAAGAATAATATATGAATTTTATATGTTATGTAAAACGTTTATACATTTTCTACAAAAATATAAAGATTACATTTTTTTAAATCTTATATTCAAAAGATTGAATTATACATTTATGACTAATTTTTAAGAAATTTAAATTAAAATATAAAACAAAATTGCACATCGTGTTTTATTTTGATTTTCTTTTATTTTGAAGTAAAATGATAATATTTCTAAGTAATTTAATTTAATTTAATTTTCTTTTTATTTTACTCAAACTTTGGTGATAGATTTTTTAACGATTTTCTTTAGAGAAGAAATTTAAGTCTGACAGATCTATGTTTGAACGTTTTCATTTTAAAACCTGTTCAAGCGGATGTGGTCTTTTATGTTGTACTTCAAAACCGCTTTGAAATTCGAATTATTCCCCAGATTCAATAATCGTAGATGCAGATTCTCTATCTGACCACATATATGTAAGATCAGTAATCCCAGGAAGCTGTCGACTGCGGTGTAAGAGAGACCAGATATAATTATTGCGATTGTTTGTATCAGATATGTTAGCTCGTATTTTGGACTGCTAGATACATCGTGTAAGTAGTATGATTGTATTGGCAAAGGCTTTCCAATTGAATCAGTAAGATTCGTTATGTGCCTAAGAGTCTTGCCAAAAAGGAAAGAGCCAAAGGTTATCAGCAATGTGGAAAGTATTAAGAGTGCTCCGCAAATAGCAAGCAAGCGGATGATTCTGGCTTGTTTTAGCATGACGATTCGTTCCTCTTCCATTTTTACTTTTATCCAATCGTTCACGATCATATTAATCAACGGCGATAAAACTAGGAAAATAATGAGTTTTTAATATACATACGTGAAATTATAATTTTTTTTTGTAATATTATCTTTTGATACTACATCTCTCATAATAATTTATTTTAGTAGTAAACAAGAATGGATTATAATGGAATGAAATTTATATATAATTTTAATCCATTTGAATCTATTCGAAAGCGTGTTTTATGGTTTATTTTTACTTTTTTTAGATTCAATTGGATTGAAAAAACTACATTTCTCTCCTATCCAGAATTGAAAATTATACAATATTCACAATGCATTTAAAAAACTACATTTTTTTATTGAAAAGCACAGAAAATTATTTGAATACCTTCTTTTTTGTACCACATAATGAAAATTTTCAGTATTGTTATCAAAAGAGGCAAGGTGTACTGTAAATTATCTATCATCAATATCATATCGCCCCATACTCTTATCAATGACACTAAAGCCGGAATAGCTAATACGAAAATTAACATAATGATGTTAAATAAGAACCGAAGTTTCGACAATAATTCTTCATGCTGATTTTTGCTGTCTTGTGGCCACAGACCGACAATTTTCAACATGCAGCGGTTTATACTGATCGCCCATTTTAAATCTATATGAAATCAATTAAAAAAAAGTATTAGAATAGTTTACTTAAAATATATATATATTTCTTTAGGCTGTAAAACTTTACTTATGTTTTCACAACTTTATATAATGTAAAATCCTGAAAATTACGTGCGCGCGCGTGTGTGTGTACATATAATTATATTATTCTTTCTTAATGAAAATTTCTAATTCAAATATCAAATAACAATATTCAATAATTGATATTCTTTCAAATTCAAATGTTAAGTATAAAATTGATATAAGAGTTCATATATAATTTTTACATAAGAATTCATGCTCATTGAT